GTCTCCCACCTTTTCTGTTGAACTGAATGATGGCCACACACATTGCAAACACACTAGTCCTCTATTCTTTAAGTTTTAAACAAAAGTCCCTTAGTGGGAGATAAATCACGCCTTAGAAAATTAGATCATGTGCTCTGTGAAGTATGACTTAGACTCTTCCCTTAGCCAGTGGATATTAGTAACACATGAGAACTACTTTTGGGGCTGGAAAGGAAAATTTGTACTTTCTACATGAATTATTGCCTTATTCAAAATGTTCTTGCTCTATATAGTTTGTATTTTTAGCAACCCTCTGTGAAATTTCTTAAAGCATTGTCCCCAGCTGAACTTCCTTCCATTCAATGGGAGATATTAATATGTTCCTTATCAAGATGCCTAGTGTACGCTTCACATTCTGCTATTCAAGCAATTAATGCACATTATTGTGATTACTTGATTACTTTATTATCTGTCTCTCTGGACCACAGGTTCTTAAAGGCGGGAGTCATTTCTTAATGAATCTTTTGATCCTAAGCTTATTACACAGTGTAGGCACTTGATAAATACATCTCAGTGAGATAATATATTCATTAGTATTATTGCAGAGGAAACAAAATGGTGAGTTTCAGAAGCTGAAGTTAATCAAATACATTTCCAAAAACAATGGCTGGCAGTTTTTGACAGATAAACAGTCATAGAAGTTAGAACGAAAGCCCAAGCAAATAAACCTGCAGGGACCTAAGAATGAAGTACAGGAAAGTAGGGTAAAAATTCTGGAAACAGGCTTGAACCCTGAAACCAAAATGGCAACAGCTTCAAAATAATAGGAGTGATGGTTTTGGAAGTAGATTTGGATAGAAGAGACTTGATATTATTCATTTCAAATTAGTCTTTGTTGACTGTATATCTTTCTTTAGGGAAGAGGTGGTACCAGGTGCTAAGGGAAAGTGGTATGACAAAGCATAAATAATAAAATAATATATAAATAATAACTTCATAGGTACCTGGTACTTTCTGTATGCTATTACTGTAAATGTCACAGTATTATGATTCTAGTATTTCTACCTATCTCTTCATCCCACGATAGCTAAAGGAATCATTTCCAAAATAATTTAATTCGTACCCAAAGACTCTAGCTAGTAAGTGGAAAAATCAGTATTCAGAATGAAGTCTTTCTGACTGAAAATTACCTGAATTGAGGTGGAGAAGAAGGAGTCTCATAACAGAGATTGATTTTCAGTTAGTATTGAGAAGCCTCTATTGAAATCTCTTCAAAATGCTTCTTGGTTTTAGGTATCTTAATTCCTTTCAAATACTTGTTTTTAAAATTTTTAACAAATCTTTAATTTAGGGAGTTTTTAATGACTATGTCTTTTGTTTGATTGGCATATAACATTTCATTTCATCTTATTATAAAAATATTCCTAAAGAGAGATGCAAATTATTGTAGTGAAGTGACAAAGTGATAAAAAGATCAAGCTACGGAACCAGAGATTGTTTCAAATGTGGCTTCCTTACCACACCGTATTTACTCTCGGGAGACATTTCTGCATTGGATGCTGATGTTTCTGCACATCTTGTGAGCAATGGTTCCATCTGCCTTTCTTCTCTTTGTACCAGACTACTTTTAAAAAGACATTTGTATAGAAAATAGCCTAAGAAAGCATAAATAATGTCTTCTACAAGAATTAAGGTCTGCCTTGCTTACAGCCTTAGGAGACAGAGATAGTCGCTCCCTCTAGCGGAGAAGAACAGGCATGCTTACTGCCCATTAAAAAAGATTCAGGTTACTAAACCCATGGTTCATTTCCTATAATACCACTTAGTATGTATGTAGATATCTCACACTTTTCATGTCATTCTGTGAGAACTAAGGTTTGGGGAACTGGGAAAAAAATCTTCATACTCTAGTACTGCTATGAGTAATAAAACTATCTGCTTCTGACCCAAGAGTCTTGTGTTTGTTATTGTCAGCAGTGAAACTGTTGCAGAGAAAATTCACTTGCAAGTGGAATAAAATCTCAGCCTCTTCTTGGTTCTTTATCTTTCCTAGTTGAGCAATTATTTCAAAAGATATGAACTTTTGTTTTCCATTAATGTGAAATTTAAAAGCGATAATACTCATACATTTCTTAGCACATTTTTCATGCTCAGGTAAATGATAGGTTATAGTGTTAGTCATGCAGCAAGAACAGTAACAGCAAGGCAGTAATAGTGGTGGCCATGATAATAACAGTAGTAGTAGAAGCACAAACAGTAAAGGAATTTAACATTTAAAGAATGCCCTCATGTAGCAGACATTTTACTAAGTTGCAGGTACAGGGTATTTTATTTAACCCTTACAACAATGGAACCAGTCCCTTTTCCTTCTTTCTTTTTCTTTCTTTTTTCTTTTTGGTTAAAAAAGGTAAATGACACGCAAATTGTTAAGCTGATTTGCCTGAGGTAACTCATGATTACAGAGCTGGGATATGAAGCTGACTAGGTCTGATTATTAAGGGTTTGTACTGCATGCATTTGTAGCCACATGTTTGGAAGATAGCTATGAAGTAATTTAGATGGTCTTTGGAAATTCCCACATCCCATTCATAGAGGAATTACAGAAATGTATGTCAAAAGATAAACAAATTGTGTCACGTTTCTCATTCATTTGTTAGAGAAAAAAAAGTCCAGAGAAATAACAATGTTGGTCTCCATATTATCTGAAGGTAATATCCATTGATGAATGTACTTAGCTAATGTTGAATCTGTTTTATTTTCCAGGCTTTGTACTTTGAACCATTTCCCACATTCTCATATTACTGTATTTTCCCATAGCACAAATAATCCTTACAGCATTAACTATAAACAATACAGCATATTAAATTCACAAATTTCCATGTTAAGTCTTCTACTCATAGGTCCGGTTAATATTTCTAGTGAAAGCAAAATAGTGATTTCAACAGTCTAATTCAATTTCTAAACATTATCAATGCCATGTTTTTCCAATATGTACATATGATGGCATACAAATACACAATATATGAGTAAAATTGTATATAAATATAGAGATGTATTTCACTTTCATATGTCATAAGTGTTGTCTTATCATAGCAAGTAGTACTTTTCCATATTTTCTATAATTTGTCATGTAAAATATGAGATATATATGTGAAGTGAAATATATATGAAATGAAATATATATAGATATGAAATGAAATACATATATTTCAGATTTTGTACAGGTTAGCACCAAACACATTTTTCAAATATAATGGCTGATAGCAACCCTTCTTTTTGAATGTGTTCATTGAGTCCGACAAATATTGAATTGGCATAAAATAAAAACAGTCTGGTATTGGTACGAGAACAGGCATATACCAACAGAACCAGATACAGATCCCAGAAGCAAAGCTCAATTTCTCAATCAACTTATTTTTTTTTTAATTCTCACTTTTATTTTTTAGTGTTTTTAAATTTTTTAATTTTAATTATTTATTTATTTATGTTATAAAGATGTGGGGTGCAATTCAGGGTTAGGTACACAAATGTTGATTATGCAGGTACCCTTGGTGGTGAGGCAAGCCCCTCCCACCCACAGCAGTTTCCTTCAACTACCAATCCCATTCCCCCTCCCCTGAAGGTTTCCCACTACTGCCAATCCCTTTCTTATAGTATCATAATTGTTCAAGGTCCATATCCACAATGGAATATTATGCAGCCATAAAGAAGAACCAACTAATTTTTGACAAAGCCTCCAACAATAACCACTGGGGAAAGGAGAACCTATTCAGTAAATGGTGCTGAGAAAACTGGTTGATGACATGCAGAAGATTGAAACAGGATCCCTATCTATCCCCATACATAAAAATTAACTCTAAATGGATCAAAGACCTAACCATAAAACCTCAAACTATAAGAATCTTAGAAAACACAGGGGACACCCTTATGGAAATTGGAACTGGGAACCAATTCCTGATCAGAATCCTAAATGCCCATGCCATAAGAAATAAGATAGACAAGTGTGATCTATCAAACTAACGAGCTTCTGCAAAGCAAAAGAAACCATCAAGAGAGCAGGGAGATAGTCCACCAAATGGGAAAAAATATTTGCCGACTGTATATCTGGCAAAGGCCTACCATCCAGGATCTACAAGGAACTCAAATGTGCTGAAAGGAAAGAGAAAAAAAAAGCCCCATTAAAAAGTGGACAAAAGACATAATAGACACTTCTCAAAAGAAGATATATGGGCAGCCAACAGACACATGAACAAGTGCTCAGCCTCACTCATCATCAGAGAAATGCAAATCAAAACCATAATGAGATACCACCTAACCCCAATAAGAATGGCCATCATTAATAAAACAAACAACAAGAGATGCTGGTGAGGATGTGGAGAAAAAGTAACACTTCTACACCATTGCTTGAAATACCAACTAGTGCAACCTCTTTGGAAGATAGTGTGCGATTTCTGAAAGAACTAGAAATTGACCTTCCATATGACCCAGCAACTCCCCTCTTGGGAATATACACCGGGGGGAACTCAAATCATTCTACAAAAAAGATACCTGCACATGCATGTTTCTTGTAGCTCTATTCACAATACCAAAAACATGGAACCAATCTTGCTGCCAATTGAAGTTGGACTGGATAAAAAAGATGTGGTACATATACACAATGGAATATTATGCAGCTATAAATAAGGACAAACATATGGACTTCGCAGCAACTGGATGGATTTAGAGTTGATCATATTCAGTGATCTATCACAGAAACAAAGAACAGAGTACTATATGTTCTCACTCACAAGCGGACCTTGAACAATTATAATACTATAAGAAAGGAACTGGCAGTAGTGGGAAACTGTCAGGGGATGGAGGGTGGGATTACAGTTGAGGGAAACTGTTGAGGATGGAGGGGCACACCTCATCACAAGGGTACCTGCATAATCAACATCTGTATACCTAACCCTGAAGTACCTCACATCTTTATAATAAAAAAGAAAGGAAAAGAAAAACATTTTTGTTTTGTTTTGTATTACCTCTACAGATGGGAACAGGAAAATCCCACGAGGCCGTATTAACCGAATTGGCTATGCAGGTGAGTTGAGGGTGGCCATCAAGGATATACCCAGTCACACAGCTGTAGCGGATCTTGTCCCCAACATCGAACCTTGTGCCATATAATATACCTTTGGGCGGAACTCCAGGGTTTCCACAAGAGCTACTCTGCAATTCTGTGGAAGAAGAAGAAAAGGAGATTTTATGTTTATTTTAACCCTTTTTTTCCTGTTTTTGATTTATAAAATTATATGGAGACAGTATATTTTTTTTGTAGGGGAATCATACAAAAGAAAATGTCTTCTATTTCAAATACATAACAGGGAAGTATGGGAAGAAAACCAAATTTTACTGCTGGGTAATATTTGTCATTCTTTGTACTAGAAAATTTTAGATATTTTATAATACTAAGTCTTCATAACAAGATTTGAAATCAGTATTACTCATATTTTCCAAAGAAATAAAACTGAGGTTGATGACATTTATGTGGCTTCTTCAAAGTAACCTTCCAATAATATAGTAATAAGTGAATTCACTTTCATTAATATGATCATCAGTACATAAATGCTTCTAATTTACCTTAAACTGTGAAGATTCTTGTAGAACAAAATACACATTGTAGGTGCAAAACTTTTTCATATAAATGAAAAAGATATGCTGGAGTAGAAAATGGGTACATTTTTTAAAATAGAGAGATTGAACTAGAATTCCAGCTCTACCATTTGATATGAACCTTGGATGTATAGTAAGATTATAATAATAAGCACATATAGATGTAACATTTTAGTTACTTCAGTATGCAAAATATTTTACTGGGGTGCCAAAAAATTATATGTATATTTTAAGAGAGATTATCTATGAAATCTATGTATTACTTTTAGTTCATCATAATCAGAAGTGTCTGGATACTGATGGTAACCACTTTGAGTACCTCTTGTAATTACAGAAGTAAAGCGTAACTTGTATTCATTTTTGTTATCAGTATGTATTATTACAATTTCAATAAAGTTTTTTCCTTTCTTAAAATGTGTATACTGTTTTTGACAGTCTATGTATATCAGAATGTTTTATTTATCACACTCTCTAATAGTTGATGCTTAAAAGCAAACAGGTATACATTTCTAAAGATATTTCTTAGTAATATACAATCCAGAAAAAAATCCAATTTAATTTTAGTTAAAATATATATATAAAAACAATATAACTTAGAGAATAAAGACATTTCAAATAAATTATTTTTCCTTATATTATTTTTTAAATTTTCTATTATTACATTGCTATATTATCTTTTTTTAGCTATACTATAACTAATAATCAACAGAAACATAAACAGTTATAAATTAATAAGATAATATTTTCCAATACTTTAAATAATATTGCTGTACAAATGTTAATTTTTTAATTTTGACATTTTTACTATGGTTACATAGTAGTTATATTAAGATAAACTAATTATGAGTACATGGGAACTACTGTTTTTGCAAAATAATAGATAAAAGCAATGTTGCAGTGTAAAAATAAGATATATTCCCATGTTGCCTTGATATTTAGTTCATTTGTGCAATTAGTAGGTTCCATATAATATCATTATTTTAAACCAAATAACTATAAACCTCTGTAATACTAAAAGTATTAATGTCAATATTAAGTAAAAGTATTAAAATACAAATGATTCATGATAGATAGCTGCATTTTTATAAAAACAAATGACACATACATAAGAATTATAAACAGAGATGATATTTGTATCTTTTATCCATAATGGTTGATGATAATTTAGGAAGAAAGTAATGTCAGTTTTCTAAACTTAACATTAGTTTTGCAGTATAAAATTTCCAATGCAAGTAAAATAAAAAAATCACAGATTAATTTCAAATGTGAGGTCAGTTTAATCAAAGAATAATGTATTGAGGACAGGACATTCAGAAAACTTGTTAAATATTTTAGTGATAAAATATTTACCATGATTTAAAGACACTTAGTTTTAAGTTTCTCAAACTTGGAAATATGAAGAACTTAACTAACATAAACTAAATATAAATTATTTTGATAAATAGCAGGAAATTTATTTAATATATAATCAACTTAAATTTGTAAAATATTTCAAATGTCAGTAATAAAGTTTAGTCATTTCTAATATTTCACTTTAATATGTCTCTAAGACATATACTATGTGCATTTTCAGTAACAATATAAATTTATTGTCTGTCAATTTCAAGCAATTAAAAAAATACTTTGAATTTAACAGTAGTTTATTTTGAAATATTTATTTTTGGAAACTTCATTGATTAATAGATGAGATGTTTGCTGCAAAAGACAATGAAGTTAATAAGTTTTGATAAAATGAACAAAAATTAAATCCCCTGACTATAGTAGAAACAAAGGAAATACTTTTAATGAAACTACCTCTTTTGGCCTGAGAGTCAATCCACTCCTCTGCCTTCCACATTCTAAAAAATAATTAAGGTCAGGACTTCAATTATCATAAAGTTATATATCTAGGAGAAAAGTAGTTTTCAAATTATTTCACAGGAAGCAACTTTGTGGGGGAATAAAAGGAACATGAGAAGGCAACTCTTAATAGTTATACTCAAATTTAACTTTGATTTAAACAAACCAATAAATGTTGCCCTGAACAGAATACCTAAAGCAAAAATGAAAAATATATCTGAGGAAGCCTGTGAATAAATAATAACTGTGAATGGAATCTTAATATATTACCTAGTCTCTTAACCTCTTTGTTTGTTTGTTTGTTTGTTTGTTTTGAGTCAGAGTCTCACTCTGTCACCCAGACTGGAGTGCAGTGGCTGCTCCTGGCCACCGCAGCCTCGACCTGCTGAGCTCCAGCGATCCTTCCGCCTCAGCCTTCCAAGTAGCTGGAACTACAGGCACGTGCTACCACGCCCAGCTAATTGTTTTTTATTTATTGTAGAGATGAGGTCTTGCCAAGTTGCCCGCAAAGGCAGGTCTTGAACCCTCAGGCTCAGGCAATCCACTCACCTCAGCCTCCCAAAGTGTGGGATTACAGGCTGAGCCACCGAGCCGGGTTCTCTTAATCTCTTAATAGATTACCTACCTGTATTGTGCCTGAATTATTTCTAAACCCACATACTGATGAAAATCTAAGATATTTCAAAATAAAACTCAAAGATCATTTTAAAGTGTATCTGATCTTCACCTTCAGGAAATCCTTGCTGTGGTTTCCCCTTGCTCATCAACTTTGTAAATAAAAACATGTACCTGTCATCCTTTGTTGACTGAGTAACTCATGGAAATAGGTAAGAGGTTTTGGATTCAGCTTGAATAGATCCTGTTTCTATAGTCATTGTTCATGGAATCTATTTTTTGTCCTTTCCCAATCTTAATTTGAGACTTTTCTCTAAGCTGTTTATGTATAAATTTTGATAAAATTAATGTTGCTCTATAAGCATGCACCAATTAACCGAACACCACCTCCTTTGCTTTCTGAGTTAACACAATGTGAGAAAGTTAACTGTCATTGCTAAGTTTGGACTTTGAGCCATAGGCTGTTATAGGCACTTAGGCATTTATTTGTCTACTTATATATCACAAAATACCCAACACCATATATGTAGACAGAGAAACTGAGACTGAAATGGATTAAGTAACTTACCCAAAGCCACCAACTAATAATAAATAGATTTTTGGTTCAAACCTAAGTTTTCTAACTTAAAAGCCTTAAATTATTTCACAAATATATTGCTATCTAGAAAAAAGCAGATACTCATTCTAGAATTATTTATTAAGCCAAAATAATATATGAATATTATTTTATATGAGAATACCACCTTTATAAGGCTACTGATATGATTAAATAAAGCAATATAAGTCATCTATATCCTGAGCAAGCACTCAATGTGTGACAAATATTATTAGCTCAATAAATTGTAGCTTTATTATTATTATAACCAATTTTGCACATCAGACATCCAAGTTAGGTATGATTTTGTTATAATCTACTACAGGCAGGGTCATATGAATGAAATCATTAAATGCTAAGTAACTATGTGAGATTATTCTTGATGTCTTAAAAATTAACCAAAAAATAGTAAATAAAAAATGGTAAGATTCAAATAACCCTCTCTAAATTATAAATTAAATCTGGAGTTGGGGAAGATGGCTGAGCCAGTTAGACTATGTGAGTCCCTGTGTGACTGAGAGAGTGTGTGGAAAAGTTTGTGTACGTGCTGGTGAGTGAGTGAGTGCATGAATGGCTGACTGAGAGGGCTAGGGAGCTAGCAGCCAGGGCTCTCCTGGTGCAGCAACTGGTGCTACAGCGGCTAGACTTGGACCCTAGCAATTCCCAGGATGCAGAAGCTGAGTGCCATTTTCTTTTTTCTTTTCTTATCAACAAACCCTCCCTGGGAAGAAAATTCAGGGAGAGACTGTCTAAGTGGGACTCAAGAGTGGGTGGCCAGGTCCCTGGTGCAACAGCTGGTGCTGCAGCTTCTCTACTTTGTCCCTGGCTCTTCCTGGGTTGCAGGAGCAGAGCCCATTGTTTTTTTGTTTTTGTTTTTTTGTTTTGAGTTGGAGTCTCACTCTGTTGTCCAGACTGGAGTGCAGTGGCTGCTCCCGGCCACCGCAGCCTCCACCTGCTGCGCTCAGGCAATCCTTCCGCCTCAGCCTTCCAAGTAGCCGGAATTACAGGCATGCACTACCATGCCCAGCTAATTTTTTATTTATTGTAGAGATGAGGTCTTACCAAGTTGCCCAGGTGGGTCTTGAACCCGCGGGCTCAGGCAATCCACTCACCTCAGACTCCCAAGGCGTGGGATTACAGGCTGAGCCACCTAGCCCGGCTTGTTGTTTGTTTTTTTTTTTTTTTTTTTTTAATGAACAGAAGTTTTCCTTTGAAAAAGCAATGGGGAGAAACTATCACCTCAGGCTCTCCCTTACCATTGAAGCAAGAGAGAGACCACCGGCTCCTGGCTTTGCCTCACCACTTCAGCACCTGGCAGGGTGCTGGCAGGGACTGCAGACTGAGTCCAGAGGCAAGTTTCCATGGAAGAGGACAAGAAAGGCACCACCACCATCTTGAAAGTGGGGCAGTAAAATGCTCCTACTTGCTCACCACAGACCAACAGACCAGATCTCTGGAACTGATGGATTAAATACTCAGGGCTTGATTGTCGCCCAGATGGAATATCCTGAGAGC